AAAGTTACTTCCCTACTTTATAAATCACCATTATTGTGGAACCTGTGGGCCGTTAGAAAATTTTACTACTAACAGAGATACAAAAGTAGGTATAAAAGGTTGACTACCCCTGCTCTAGATATACAACCAAAACATAATGTTTCCAATACATTACAACTCAGGGACGGGCTGGATACTCCTCCCCCACTATGAGAATAGGCTTATCATGTAAGTACCAATGCCCTTTCTCCATAGTGAGGGGGGGGGGAGTATCCAGGATGGGACGTACGTTCACACCTATTGTATATATCAATGTAGGTCTATGCTCAACCCTATGCCTGGTGAGATGTCTCTCCCACTCTATGCACCATCTGCAATACCCTACGTCCGAAAGCTGCCTCTGCTGAAGCGGAGTCTAATTTGTAATTCCTCATGAATGGTGAGGGAGAAGACCATGTGGCTGCCCTACAGATCTTGGTCAAGGAGGCCTGCGAGGCCCAGGCCGCTGACGTGGCCGCGCTTCGTGTAGAATGTGCCGTAATAGCCCCCGGAGTTTGCAGCCCTCGTGTTTGGTACCCGGTTGCAATACAGGTCCGCAACCACCTGCCTATAGTGGTAGAGGTTAGCTTGTTTCCCAGGGACCCCGGCTGGAAGGAAACGAACAAGGCCTCTGACTTTCTGGTTGGCAGGGTTCGTTTGAGGTAGGTCCTCAGCGCCCTCCTCATGTCCAAGGTGTGCCACTTTCTCTCCAACGGTTGAGAGGGGTCCAGACAGAAATTAGGCAATCTTGTGATCGGTGGAAACAAGAGCACACCTTGGGTATGAAGGAGGGGTCCAGTCGTAGGACCACTCTGTCCTGGTGGAATACACATAAATCTTCCCTGGCCAACAGAGCCTGAAGTTCAGCTATTCGCCTAGGGGAAGTAATGGCCATCAAGAAGACCACCTTGAGTGTCAAGAATTTGAGTGAAATTGTTTGTAGTGGCTCATAGGGAGGGCCTGTCAGAGCGTCCAGCACCCTGTGTAAGTCCCAGGAAGGGTACCTGTGTACCGTGGGCAGTCTAAGATTAGAGGCCTCCTTGAGAAACTGCTTGACCATGGGTGCTGAGTTAGTGTCTGAGACCTACCGCACAGGAGTATCAAGGAAATGTCTGCTCCTCAAATATGGTCTCAGCCGAGAAGCTTTGAGGTTGCGCTGGTGGTTCTGAAGGTCTGTTGCCAAGTTTGGCAGCCATCTTTGCCTCGAAGAGCAATGATTTGTATAAGGAAGGCTGGAACAGTCCAGAGCAGGAGGGCTTCGAGTCAGGCAAGCCCTCATCCTCGGAGAGTCTATCCTCTCTCAGCTCCCCTTCCTCAGATTCTGAATCGCTGGCCTCTGGGGACAAGGGGGAGTCAGTGGGGTCTGCCCCCTGGGCCTCCAGCCCCTCAGGAACCATGGGTAAGGGTGCCATGTGAGGCTGCATCTGAGGCTGCTGGAAAGCGGTGGTCATGCACTGCTGAAACGCCCTCATCATCATCTCCTGAAAGTTAGGTACCCCTGAGAGAGGTACTTGTCTGGCCCCCATACCCACAGGTGTAGGAGGGAGAGGTTGTGGAGAAGGCCCCATGGAGCGTGGGGGGGGGGGATTGCCATCCCTGAGCTGCACCCCAGATCCCCAAGGTGTCAAAGGGAATCCTCACTTGGAGGGAGGGATCCTCCTCTATAGCTCTGCTGAGGGAGGAATGCTCTGGTAACCTCTCATCCAACCCCAGACATTGCAGAGTCTTCCTGATGTTGGCATTGTGACATATTTGCTCTAAAGCTTTATGCCTCTGTTTCTCATATTTAGAGCCCGGTTTGGGAAACGTGGAACCAGTGCCCAGCTCCTTAGCTGCCTTGGGGGCAAGGTGCCTGGTTTTTCTTTTTGCCTTGCCACCCCCTCCCCTGGACGGACCTTCAGGGATAGATTGACCTTAAGAGCTCCTCTGCTTCTCCGGTGGGGCTGGCTGTCGAAACGAGCATCTGGCGCCTGCCGGTGTCCTCTGGGTTAATGGCGGTTGCATCTTGGATCACGTGTTCAAAATGGCGATTCACACCAAAATTCAAAGCTCGGTTCCTCCGGCGTGCTTGAAAAGTGGCTTATGCTCTCGAGCTGCCGTGCGCATCTCTCTGCGGGCGAAGATCTCTCTCCCCCTGCCTTTGCTGCTCGTTTTCCTGCTCCACCAGCCCCCTCCGGTGTTTAAGGATAAGCGCAGGTGCTCCACATTGTTTAAACACCGTGGATCGTTGCTCGACCCTTGCTGGGAGCGCTCCGGCGCTGATTCAGGTTTTTTTTCTGGCCGCTGTTTAAAGCAGCGTGCCGGCACTTCGTGATGCTTTTTCCTTCTCCCGTGTGTTAAAGCCCTGAGTGGCCACAGGATTTATCCTAGTGGCCAAATCTGTCCGCCGCCTTTGTAGGCTAATGGTGATAGGCGCTACCCCTGCCAGGGGTTTTGCTGGTCGCCAAGGTACTCATGCCTCTGAGGAATAGCAAGTTGCACTTTAAATCAGTCTTTCTTTCTTTGCAATTTTTCAAGGAAATCAGGATGACACAGCCGTCCAGTTGGGGACTGAGTCAATAACTGGGTATTACCTGGTGACTAGGGCATGGCCTAAAGAGCTTATCGGACTCAGTCCAATCAATGAGTACGAAGTTAACCCATCCTGGATACTCCTCCCCTCACTATGGAGAAAACTCATATTGCTCCCATTGACAAAGGGTTGATTCACAGAAGTCCATTTCTATTTAGACATTGCCGCTATTTTACATGTAGTTTTCTTAAATCTACCTACAAATTCTTCTTTCAAAGAACATACATATGAAAGTTATTGGAAGTGGTTTATATTGAAATAAAAATTAGTGTACATATAAAATTCAAGGAAATTTAAAGACTAAATTAAAGTAAAGCTGATAACGTTGCTCAGTTCAAAATAACAATCAGAATGCATGAATTGAATAGAGTAGTAGATAGCAAATGAACTAATTAAAATATTACATTTAAAGCTTTGAGCTGTAAAAATAGGACAGTTTCCAATACCTTCCCAAAATGAATGTATTTGGTGCTAACTCTATCTACAGCTGTGCTGAAGACAGATAGCACAGAGGAAAGGAAGCCTTAGAAAATACAAGACAATCACAATAAATCAATGACGGATATGCTTAATTAAAATCCATACCTAAATCAAGAAACTGGAACACTAGGTGCATAGTTAATTTTACATTGGATGCATGATCCTCCAATCGGAGCACTAATATTTGATCTTTATTGAAAACCGCCAGCCAGTCAAGGAGGAAAACAGCATACAGACCAACCTGAAGTCTTACCTGAGAGAGAGGGGGAGAGAGAGAGGGAGGGAAAGAGCTGTAGTAAGTTATTCCAGATACAATTATATTCACATAGTAGGAAGATTCTGAGTGGGAGATGCAAGGGGAAATGAAATGGTTGATTGGGAAGTGATTAGCAGAGAATAAACTGGCAGGTGGGTGTGGAAAAGGGTCAGGTTGGAGAATGGGAATAAACAACAGAAAAGACATGAATTCATGTTATATAATTTTCCAAAAAAATGTTTAATTAATTGAGCTATACAAAAACAAGATTCAAATTATTAACAGCACAAACTGACATAGAACAGATGAATTTATTTCTATCTTAGATGAGCTCCCAAGAATCTTCCCTCTTACTCTAATTAGTGTCATTTTTTTATGTCCAACTTCTTGAGGGGACTTAAAACAGGAAAAGAAATGTATAGCACTCAAATTAAATCAACATTTCATTCTTGCAAAATGTGTATCCTTAGAAACTATTCTCAACAACCAGATGTTGGAGAAAAGATCTCTAGCCTAGCTGTGCAATTATTTTTATTTAAGAATAATCATATGCAATTTCAGTTACTGGGTTTTATAAAGTACTTGGTTCTTATATATTCTGAAACTGGTAATACTTGGCTTTAGAACAGTATATAAAATCTGAAATGAAATATACATACTGGCATGGCATTATTAAGAGTGTTGTTGTACACACAGGCTCTCAAAGAGAAATCTGTCAAGCAATTCTCAAAGAGTTGTAATGAGTCAGCCACTTTTTCATGGAAGTCTTCTACAGATTTATTAGCACTTGCAAAGTAGAGATAATCAGAATATAATCTATTAATAGAAAAAATACATAAACAATTGAACTGCAATTATAAACCATGCCATCTAGTTAATATAAATAATAAATCAACAACCAGTGTCCAGGAAAAAAACAAATGATATTATTTATATCATAAATTTTGTTTTTCGCAGTAGAACTTTGTTTGGCTCAGATATGTTAAGGAAAGAGCTTCTTTCTGATTTACTTGCTGTTTGAAAGTAATCCTCATTCTAGACAAAACGAACACAAACTGTCAAGCTACTGCAATTCTCCCAACAATAGTGGAATTTATTTTCCAAACATCAAATCAAATCCTTATTACCATAATAGTCATTCCAAATATATTCCTACTCTACTTTTTTTTTTATGGCGGATGAATAAAATAGTCAAGTTAATCATGATATTGCTGCTGTGTAATAATTTCAGTTGTTCTACTTAATCTTTTATCTTATCATTCTTTTCTAAAGATCTACATTCATGGTCCCCAACCTTTACAGCTTGGCAGCCTGGTTGTGGGGTGGGGGGAGATACACCTCAACTTGCACAAGCAGCAGGCGGTGCACACCTGCGCGAGTGCCTGGTAGCCTGCTACTTATGCAAGTTGAGTTGCACATGCTCCAGCCACCCACTTGAGTGGCCCAATTCCAAACATGACACGCCCTGGTAGTAGACCGCAGCCAAGGGGCTGGGGACCCCTGACCAGAGGTGGGTTCCTACCAGTTCGCACCTATTCGGTAGAACCGGTTCATCAAATCTACTGAACCGGTTAGAAGAGGTTCCACCAGTGGACNGGCAACTTCTGTTCCATGAGTTGATGGCTCTCACTGTCAGAAAATTCCTCCTTATTCCCAGGTTAAATCTCTCCTTGGTCAATTTCCATCCATTATTCCTTCTCTGGCCTTCAGGTGCTTTGGAAAATAGCTTGAACCCCCTCCTCTCTGTGGTAGCCCCTCAAATACTGGAAGACTGCTCTCATGTCTCCCCTGGTCCTTCTCTTCGCTAAACTAGTCTGGTTGCCAAGCACCCAAATTTTGATCGCGTGATCACGGCTGCAACAGTCGTAAGTGAAAACACCAGTCATGTCACTTTTTTCCAGTATTGTTGTAACTTTGAATGGTTGCTGAACGAATGGTTGTAAGTCAAGGACTACCCGTACTAAAGTCTTGTCGGTTATGAGTTGGTCAGTAGCTATTACACGGAAATGCCATCCGTCCTGCCTTTGCAGTCTGCCATATGTATTGATTGTCCATTTCCATGGTATTTTAACCAAAGAAGCTTCCATATTGGGATGTGGTCTCTGAAAGTCTTGTTTTGAATCTTACCTTTTTGTTTGTGGCGGGGAAAACTTCTTAATAGTTATTGTGTTAGATTGATAGTTGTTTTGCTAACCGTTCATTTTATTTTTATTTTTTTCCACGTTGATAATCTCCACTTCCGACAGGGTGATGTTTACAGCCTGCTGAGCCCTTTATTAAAGGATTGTGTCAGGGTTTTGAATGCGTCTTCCTTGGTTATTGTCAAATCTGCCAAACTCCTCCGTCTAGTTTTGAAGTTAATAACAGTTTTGATGCATGCATGTTTCTGTGCTTCTCGCATGCACCCTTGAGGAATCAGTTTTGTTTTGCCATCTGGTGGTTTCGTGCTGAGCCAATACAGATAGTTTGGTGCCCCCTTGATTTTTCTCTCTTTCTTCCTCAATGTTCGAAGGCTTCTTTTCTTAAAAAATCCAATTATTCCTTTTTTAAACAAAAACAAAAACCGATACCCAAAAGCCAAGAAAACCCGTTAGGAACAGGCTCTTCTTCATCGCAAATGTTTCACGCAGCGCTCAAATATAATATAAATTTAATAAAATAAAATAAAATCTAAAATGATGGCTGTCATCCAGGTGCTCCAACCTTAGTTCCTAAATTGCTGACGATCGGATGATTTATGCCGCGGAACAATATACACACCTGGGAGTAAGTCCCACTGATATTAATGTGGCTTTCTTCTGTGTGGACGTGCATCTGATTAAGTTTAGATGCGCACATGAATAAAGATATTAATCGCAGGGAAATTTTGTCTCTGGATGATGCCCCCGCTTGTGTTGTAGTAACATTCTCCCCCCCCCCGCCCCCGGTGAAAGAGAAATTGTAAGTTGATTTGTGCCACCTGCAATTTTTATAGGCTGAGTAGTTAAAAGTTATAGAGCTTGACAGAAAGTTCTCTCTTCGTTGACTGGTTATTTTTTCCCACACAGTCGCAAAGTATTTCATATAACTTTAACAGAATAACGGAGATGGAAGGGGCCTTGGAGGTTTTCTAGTCCAATCCTCTGTTCCAGCAGGAGATCCTATACCAGTGACGGCTAACCTTTTCCAGATCGAGCGCCCAAAGCTCGTGCGTGCGCCCAAACCCCCAAAATGCAATGCGGGTGTGGCCTCTGCGCATGTGCCCCACCCGCAAGTATGTGTCCCCACACATTTCCCCCGTGCATGTGGCCCCCCCTCACATGCCCCGCCCTCGCTCATGCACGCGTGCCCCTCTGCATATGCGCCACTCTGCCCCTGCGCAGCAGAGACCCGAAGACTAGCTGTCCGGCGGAAGGCATACACGCATGCGCGGCAGAGCTGAAGTGGGGCGACAGCTCACATGCCCACAGAGAGGGTGCTGCGTGCCACCGCTGGCACCCTTGCCATAGGTTCGCCATCACGATTCTATACCATTCCAGAGAAATGTGTGTTCAATCTCTTCTTAGAAATCTCCATTGTTGGAGCACCCCGCACTTCTGAAGGCGAGCCGTTCCACTGATTAATTGTTCTCATTGTCAGGAAATTAATTGCATCTTATTAAAAGGAAGGCTATTAAACCACATGTGAGGGGCACACTCATCATGGCTAGATGCGAATCTAAAAAAAGAGGCACCTGCTTGCTCTCTGGAATTTCCTTAGGGATTCAATCCATAGCTTAGTTGAAGCCCAAGAAAGTCAGAATTTGGTGTATTATGGTCTCTGCCTCCAGGGTTCTTAAGCAGTTTTCCCTTCCCAAACAAAGGACCTAAGTTTTCACTGCTCTAGTCTAGTCTGGTGTGTTTGTGTGTGTGTGTTTGTGTGTGTGTGCACCAGAGGTGGGTTCCTACCAGTTCGCACCTATTCGGTAGAACCGGTTCGTCAAATCTACCAAACCGGTAAGAAGAGGTTCCACCAGTGGACCCGGAAAGCAGGCCACACCTACAGAAGAGGTTCCAAAAATTTTTTAAACCCGCCCCTGGTCCGTGGATATGATTATTCTACACTATCATGCTCCTATTTATAAACCTAAG